ACATTTTAATAATTCACATCAAATCGACATATATTATGGGAGAATTTTCCTTGCACGCGTTTCTATCTATCTATCTATCTATCTAGCTATCTATCTAAGAAAGGTAGATAAAAAACTAAATCTATTCGTAAACACACACATTTAAATAAATGTGTTGTTTGTGTGCGTATATATATATAGTTATATTTATAGTTAAGTATATATATATAAGTTGCATGTATATTTATATTTGTGTGTGTGTGTGTGTGTAGTTTGATAATAACGTTGAGCATGAGTGTCGCCTCAAATAAGAAACATCAATGTTCACTTCTCTATTTACGTACGCTCAGTCCCTGATACAGAGCACTTTAACCCATAAAAATAGCACACATTAAAACTATAATTTATCATATATATATATATATATATATATATATATATATATATATATATATATATATATATATATATATTTTTTAACTTCCTTTGAAACGGAATGAATCTATCTAAAATTATTTCTATTAGGCAGACTAATTTGGCATGGGGCTATCAACTTCATCTCGTTAAAACCTACTTGCTACGGAAAACACAATTGAAGATGAGATGTTGACAGATGTGAACCAATACACCCCAGTGGTGTTTACGGGACATGAGTGAGCGTGTGATTATCTATCTATCTATCTATCTATCTATCTATCTATCTATATATATATATATATTATTTGATAATTAGTAGGGATAATTCTAAAGAGGTTACAAATCCAAAGATAAATTTAAAATTCATCTATTGTGAAATTGTTTGTTCTGAAGAGACGGGGCCTGTCTGATTCTGTGAAATAAATTATCATCATGGATTTTCAAAATCTCAGTTTTCATCATTACACACACACACACACACACACACGCACACACACACACATATATATATATATATATGAATACGTTTTCGTGCGATGCGTTTTCGCCCTTTAGGACTAGGTTTCTTTACATTGATGCGAATACACATGCGCACGAATGGGACGCTGGGAATTTTTAATTCAGAGAAAAAAACATTAATTTGTGTTTTCGGTATATAATCCAACCATTTTGATAATTTTTTTTCATCATCATTATTAAATATCCCACTTTGTTATAAAGACACAAAAAGATATTCTTGATAATGTCTGATAGATTAGCCGACAGCTCACTCGGACAGATTTATGTCCAAATACGAAATCCCTTGTGCGAATGCAAGAAAAAATATAATAAAAAACTTAATCGCAGTACCTTTTCAGTCGTCGTCCATGAAACCTGAGAGAGATTGCTGCCCAAATACACGATTATTGGGTTAGTGCATATTTATCAGGCGTTTTTTAAACAATATTTATTAGGAAAAAAGAAACATAACAATTCAACAATAACATTTTTAAATGATTATTCCGCAGCGTGTGATTATCGACACGGAATTTTATAACCTGAAAATAAAATATATTTTTATTAAAAAAGTAAACAAAACAGCAATTTTTATAAACAAATAACTTGCCTACAAAAACGCCTGATAATTATGCACCAACCCAAATATATATATATATATATATATATATATATATATATATATATATATATATATATATATAAGTGGACACTGAAGTCAACACCAAGAGGCGACTGTCTGTTTCAAGCATGTAACAAACTGTCACCTCTCTTTTTAAAATCGTTATCACCCCAAGCAAACCAGTAAAGCCACTAAAACACAAGGGGTTAGAGGGTATGGAAGAATTAAAAAAGGAAACATTATTAATGATCAGGGAGAAAAAAGGAGAACAGTAGATAGCTATTGACATTGCGTTAAATTTTTGCAGATAAAAGCTGGCCGGAAAACATAGAAAGGGGGTTCCACAAGTGAGAAGTGCGAGAAAAGAAACTGTTAGCATAGAACCTACGGCTCCATCTAGCCAACTCACCTGTAAATTGATGAGATCTCGACGCCAGTCTAGTACTGCGCTTAAATTCAAAAAGTCGAGATACCATAGCGAAGAGCTCATCTGAACAATTATCATAAAAGTATTTATTTAAAAAAAAAAGGCACAGAGAGGCAACATTACGGCGGTGGGTAAGTGACTAAAGCCGAGGCGCCAGATCAGAACCAGTAATATTGCTGATTCTTTTGGATCGAGGAGCTCAAGATAATAAAGGAAAGAGTTACTGAATGTGAGAGAAATAGAAACAAGGAAGCTTCGTTAAAGCGGTGGAAAAGTGACTCAGACCGAGATGACTGGACAGGACCAATAACCGTGCGGATTCTTCTTTGGATTTTATCAATAATCTCTAAATACATAGAAAAAGCAGCAGGCCAGCAATATTCAATGCAACGATGGATGGTAGATTTATAAATGTCTAAGATAGATTCTGTCAAGAAAAATTATCTGATACGACTGAACCAACTTTCCTAACAGCAGACCTAACAATTGATTCAACAGAATCTTTCCACTTTATGTCAGCGAAAAAAAAATTAGTCCGAGAAGCCGCAATGAGTCACTCTCCTGGAGGTTAGCATCAGCCATATTGATGGGAGGCAAAAACGTTCTGTCAGAGGTTTAAAAGAGAGCAGTCCTGGTTTAGATGCGTTAAAATTAACACACCATTTCTTGCCTCAGTTAATAAAAAGAATATAGGTCATTTTTGAGCTCCGCTGCCAATCTGAACTTATCGAACCGGTCATACTTACATTTAAGACAGGTGTAACTATTTGTTTCCTCAGTATATATGCTAAGTGGAGAACTGAGGAAATCAATAATGTCGTTGATGAAAATAATGAAGTACGTAGGTTCAAGAATAGAGTCTTGAGGAACATCTGCATTAATGCAAAAAGATCTAGAAGAGTGGCCATTTAATCAACTTTCATTTCGCAATTTCATAAGGAAGACTGAATCAAATCAAATATTTGTCGAGAAACACCATAACCTTTCACTTGTGAAAAAGGACAAGATTTTAAAACTTGTCAAATGCTTTCCAGATGACTACAGCAACAGCTCGAGCTTCACTATTCTTATTACAGGCTGGATAGATCCTTTTGGCAAGAACGGTAAATAGATCAGCTGTTGACCTAGAGAAGCGAAAGCCATATTACTTTTCTGAAAGAAAATTTGATGAGAACCTCTAGTATATATATATATATATATATATATATATATATATATATATATATATATATATGCATTTTTCATTAAAAACGACAGACAAGGTGCTACGGTTAAGCTTTTTATTTAATTTTTCTTGTGTTCGAACAAGAGCTTTCTTTTCTGGACAAAGAGTATATAAATACTGTCCAAATATTTTATATTTCTGAGCGCTTTCGGCTATACCTTTAGCCATTATCAAGGATGATTCGATTTTTCAGCTTAATTGAGTGTGTGCATTATGTGTATGTCTTAGTGTATAGTAGGGATGTTTTAATTTCTAAATACGCTTAGCACATTGTGGCTTTGTTCGTAGTTAATGTTGTTAAAAGTTAGCCTTTTCTTTTTTATTATTAAGGCTTCCATTATTTTTAATCTTTTTTTTACTAGAGGATGAACTTATTATATTTGTGTTTTCTACTAGTATGTTTCTAATGAAGGTTGCTAAGTTTTTGAGTGCCTTTAAATGGGTTCTAATCGAGCTATGTTCAGATATGTGTAACGTAAGGCGTCTGGATAAGCATGTAGTTGTGTAACCTCATAAATAATTACATCGGTTACACAACTACATGCTTATCCAGACGCCTTTTGCGATAAAGAAAATATATATATATATATATATATATATATATATATATATATATATATATATATATGTGTGTGTGTGTGTGTGTGTGTGTTTTGTGTGTGTGTGTGTGTATGTGTGTGTGTGTGTGTGTGTAACGTAAAGGAATCCCAAAAATCTGTTTCATCCTGAATATAAATTTTGGATTCTACAAAAAATTTTGGAGGATGAAACAGAGCTTGATATTTTAATTCAATTGAATTTTAATAATTATATTGAAGTTTCTGGCTCTTTTTTTTTGAAACATGAGAACTCTTGTATAGCGAAGGAATCATATTTATAATAAATAATTATAATATATATATATATATATATATATATATATATATATATATATATATATATATAAGATTAATGTTGTTTATGAATTCTTATGACCGTTGGTAGATTTTAACTCCAATAACTAACGATCAACATACATGAAATTTCGACATTGAAAACACATGCACCAAACTATCTCGTAAAGTTAACTTTTCAATTTTCAAATATTTTGTGCAATTCTCATACAAGTAGATGAACGTCTGCGAAAAAGACAAGATAATATTAACATTGGACAAATCTAGTTTATATATATATATATATATATATATATATATATAAAACTGACTGTTGATTTTATATCCTCAGTGTTTATACCTTCGATTAATAATATATATATATATATATATATATATATATATATATATATATATATATATATATATATATATAATACATGTGCTGTGATATTTTCATTTGTGATTAGGTGTTTCTGCTGTCGCTTAAAAAGGTTGAGAATCTAAGCTAGAGGAAACTCCTCTTGTCAGAAAGTTAGTTACCAGCATGGCAAATCCTAGAACAGTGAAAGAAATGAGAAGTGGTAATCTGGATGTAATCATGAAAAATTAGAATCACAAAGATAATATACTAAAAACGAAGTCTTTCCATAATTTAAAATGTAAAGCTTACTCATCGAGAGATGTTCCTGGCGAAAGCCGAGGAAATAAATGCACATTTAGGCAAGCAATGGAACACGAACTAAAAGATAAGCATAGAAATACACACATATATCGTAACATTTAATAAACCCACAATCCCAAAAGAAATACAAATTGGATTTACAACTGAACAATACATTTCCAAATTCCTTGAGGCGTTTCAAGTGACTGAAGTATGGAGACCAAAGGAATGATCCAGAGGACATGTGGTTGAAAATGTGATAAAAAGAAGCTTTCTTTTCTCCTACCTATTCTTCTCGGTAGTCTTTTTCCACCTTCTCCTCATCTAAGTTGTTTTCCTCGATTTCTTTCCACTGGAGGGCTATTTCTGGACTAGAAAAAAGAAACTGTTTCCTAATTAAAAAGACCAAACGTCACAAAACAAATAGAATCATAGCAGAGATGTTACTTGAATTGAATGGATATATATATATAAACATGTTTACAATTAAAATTTCTGTGTAAAATGGCGTAATTATAATAAACAAAAAATAAGAATTTGGTTTGGTTTGTTTTACGGCATATCAACCTCAATGGGTTATTTAATGCCGACAAGATTTTTAGGATATGTTTGTATGAATAGAATATATATTCTTTGTAAGAAATCAGTTTGGTTTGGTTTGGTTTGGTTCGTTTTGTTTTACGGCATATCAACCTCAATGGCTTATTTAATGCCGACAAGATTTTTATTGCTAGTAATATTTTTTTCAAAAATATATTGCTGGTAAAATATTTTCCAAAAAATTATTGCTGATATTAAAACCTATTTTTATACTTTCATAGTGTTTTAACTCCTTTTTTTTGGATTAACTATTTGCCCGTAGCTGGGACTCTGACAAGTGCTACTACCTCGGGTCAGGGTGGACCTGGTAAAACCAGCAATTAAGAGATTGTTTCACGTTCTTCAAAACCTTCTTATCAGAGGCCTTGCTGTCGAATGTAGTTTATCATCTTACCAAGGACGGTAAGAATTTTGATTTGGCTGTTCAAGTTTTTAGACTCGCCTAACTTTCATTCCTATTTATCTGAAAGTACTTACACCTTGTTACAAATGGAATATCCCTTTGCAGCTATTAATTAATTAATTATATCAATTCCTAGATAGTGACAATGCGTTTCTACTTGGTGACCAATGCATTCATATGTAAAATCATTAGCAATGCATTTACAATATGCATCCATTAACCATATTTGGTTAAAACTAATTCCTGACCATTGACAATCCCTTTCTTACTGGTTTTCAATGTATTCCTATAAAAAAAATCATTCGTAATGGATTTCCATTTAAACATATAACATTATTCTGTTGGTAATGGTTTCATTATTTCCTGAATACTGAAAATCACTTCTTTGAGTTACATTGCGTTTCTTTAGAAGAAATAATAGCAATGTATTTATATTATAAAAATTGGATCCCGTCATCAGAGCTTGTCTTAATTCCTTGCAATTGAAAATCACTTCTTTCTGATGTCCAATGCATTGCTATCGAAAATAAGTTAGCAATTGATTTTCATTATACATGTTTTCCGTCAGTAAACTTTCCGTTATTTCCTGACCACTGACAATCCCTTTATTTTCCTGATTATTTTTCTTTACAGTAAAGTTCACCCTTTACAAGGCCCGGGAGCACTCGTGGTAGAGGAGGCAACTTGTGCCTATAGAAGTGGAAGATAACTGTTAAACATAGCCTTGAACTGGTTCGGGGAAACATCCTCTTGGGAGTCGATTTCACAGACATGTATTTATAATGAAAAAAAATTAGCAATGCATGTAAAGGGTGTTCCAATAACTTGGAACGATTTTAAATGTAAATTAAATTTAAGCGTCTAATGATTTTTTTTCTTTTTCTTTCAGATTTAACAACTTAAGTCTTTGGCAATTTCAACCATAAAAAGATTAACAATCAAACAAGGTATTAAAATTATTGAAGCCTATTACGAAAATGGATGTTCAAACAGAATTTGAACGAGAAGTTCCCAGGTCGCATCATCTCTAGAAACAGCAACCAGTTGTCCACCGCGACGATCGTGCGACTTGACGTCTTTAGATTTCTTCCTTTGGGGTCATCTCAAAAGTAAGGTCTATGCCAACAAGCCAACAACAATTCAACAGCTGAAGGATGAGATTATAAAGAATATTCGTGAGATCAAGGAGCAACTATGCAGAGACGTCATCAAAAATTTTGACCATCGATTTGAGGTATGCCCCCGAAGCTTTGGCGGGTATTTTGGGCGATATTATTTTTCACACATAATTGCCATGTCTTAAATAACATGATCCAACAGTGAAAGAAATAAATTCTCACTAATAACACTGATTTATTTAATGCTGACTTTGATCCCTCTTAATGAAACCCCCTTTATATTATGCATTCTGTTAGTAATATTTGGATTAATTCTTGACCACTTACAATCCCATTCAATGTATTTTAATAGCGTTATTCAGCCAGTAATGTTTGCATTTAATGCATGATTGTAACGACAATCTCTTTCTCAAAGAAATTATAAAATAAATTATGAATTAAAATACCTGGCTATTCTATTCTATCGTAACAGTATGGAGATAACGCATTTATATTAGACGTATCTCAGATTAATTATATCAGTTACGTTTGTGTCGAATTTTATGAGACATGTCGTAAATTACTGACTTCTAAACCAAAGTTCACTCATGTAGAGAATGGCTTCTGCGAAATGTAATGCTTTAAGAAAAAAAAAAACTCGAATTATACACGGATGTACCTGGCATTTTTCCTCTTGTCGTATTCCTTTGATCTAGCGCCGACATATACCCGACTTCGTTGATCACAATCGATTGCGTTACGAATCACTGTTACTCGTTCCGTATGAATTTGTTAAAATTGCGCCCCGCGTTTACTACAACGCTCGCGTGTTTTAATGTTTTGCGTGTGTGAAATCGGGGCCACGTGTCTACCCATTTTTTGCTGACTATGCACAATTTCCAGCCGGCGCTGCCTGTTCGAAAGCAGCAGGATCGAGTCGTTGGTAATGTTCAGCTCAATCATTTTGCACAGCGATTTTGAAGCGTTTCACTCCGCGCCCTCCTCCACATCGCCCCAATTCGCTTTACTAACCCCCCCACCACCACCACCACGCCTCTAACCATTGCCGCCGCCGCCACCACTGATTGCGAGTTGAATCTTGATTTAGAGAAAAGGCGGCAGAAAATGAAAGAAAGAAAGAAAGAAAGAAAATTGGAATCAGCCATTATTGCGATGGGACAAAGTTGAGAGAAATTCCTGTGAAAGAACGAAACACAAGAAAGAACGGCCAAAATTCTGCTAATCACGTGCGAAGGATTCAACTTTGGCGATTTTTTCTTTCATCTTTCTTATTTTCTTTCTTTTTCTCTTTCTTTTTTCTTTCTTTCTTTATTTCTTTTTTTATTTCTTTCTTTTTTATTTTCTTGCTTTCTTTTTTCTTCCTTTCTTTCTTTTTCTTTCATCTTTCTTTCTTTCTTACTTTTTTCTTCCTTTCTTTTGCTTTCATTTTTCTTTCTTTCATCTTTCTTTTTTTTCTTTCTTCTTTCTCTCTTTCTTTTTCATTTTTTCTTTCATTTAATTCGTGATTTAATAACTGATTTCCATGAACGTATCAGCTTGTATATTTATTTTCTGATCACATCTAAACAACTCTTATTTATCATTGCACATTATCGACCTATTCATCAATCAATCAATCAATTCTGTTAACTACCTGATTTTCTTTTTCTCATTCTCTCCACCCAACCTTCTGTGCAGCTCTCTCTTTCTCTCTCACATTATGTCCATACTTATCTATCTATCTATCTATCTATCTATCTATCTATCTATCTATCTATCTCATTCTGTACATTTCTGCTTTATTATGACTCTCTGTGTGTGTCTCTCTCTATTTATCAATCACATTCTGTCCATATCTCTCTCTCATTCTGTCCATTTCTATCTCTCTCTACATCTATCTACCTGTCTTTATCTATCTATCTATCTATCTATCTATCTATCTATCTATCTATCTACTGATTACACTTTTGTTCACACCTATCTCTGCTTCTATCTGTGACCATATATAATATTCTTTATATGTATATACATCTATGCACGTAATTCTTTACAAGTTTTAACTTGCTTGTATGTAAAACTAGCTCGTTAATCATCACTCTGCGATTGCTGTCCAATTTCCATTTAATATATGACCACAGTGCTAGATAACACTGAGGATCGAACTCGACAGGCTCATTTTGTTTTTTGAAACCTGTTGGATCACAAATATTTTTTGTCTTGTGCTCCTTACTAAATTGCTTAAATGAATCTCGATCCATAGACTTATATCAGCATTAAACACATCCTCTCTTTCTCACTAGATTGCGTTTCGACATCCAAAAAGAAGAAAAAATTAAGGTCGAAGAAGGTGCTTTTGGGAGATAACGTTTTTAAGGTAAGCTGCCTTTGTAATTAAAGCGCTCAATTTCAAGAGAGAAGATTAATAGTGATAAGTAAACCTCAATGTTCACTTATCTTGTATCTCCTCTGTTTAGTCGTAAATGAAATCCTATGTTTCAACCAAAAACATGAATCAGCTGATTTGAATCCCCCAGTAACAAGAACAAAAATGGGGGGTAAAGATTCAATACTTTGAACAGAAAAAAAACAAACAAACAACAAAACAAAACAAACAAAAACAAAACAAACAAAAACAAAAAAAAACCCAGAAAGTTGTGGAGCGCCATGATCACCTACGCCCTGAACGGGTATGGCACACAAATGATAAAGCAGCATGTGGATGGCATAACAAAAACAAACGGGGATGATAAAAGAAGGTTACTTAGAGCAACACCAGACAGAAAGTTGTGGAGAGCCATGATCGTCAATATCCTGAACATGACATAGATGATAAAGAAGTACATGGATCGCTTGACAAGGCTAAAGAGAGATGGTAATAGTGAAAATTATTTAGAGCAAAAAAAGACAGGAAGACGTGGAGAGGCATGATCGTCAATGTCCTGAACGTACAAAGCACATAAATAATAAAGAAGCATATGGATCGCATGTTAAAAGAGGGATGGTAAAAATGAAACTTAATTTGAGAAACAAAAGACTGGAAGTTGTGAAGAGCCACGATCGCACATAAAAAACGAAAAAAAATGTTGAAGAGTGGTTTGTACATTGATTTCAGTGATAGAATTTGTCAGCTGAAGAGAGTGTATTCGCATCCCAGATAGACACCATTTAGATAAGAACAAGAATCGTAATATGGCCAGATAGAAAAAATATTAGTATATGGAGATATAATATTAAAGATCGATAGACATGCGCGTAGATAATACCTTAGTTGCTTCTTTTACTAACGAGACACAACCGTCACGGGTCGACCATCATTAGAACACATACAAAGTCAAGTCAAGTGGGGCTTGAATGATCTTACTAGAGTTAGAAGTGTCTTGTGCTTTTATTCCCAGAAGCAAAATTCTCGAAGCAAGATTTTCAAAGCAGCCACCCAATTGATCTAAATAACTAAATAAATAAACAAAATGAAAAAAAAAAATGAATAAATAAATAAACAAACTTTCAGGAATAAGTGCCACTTAGCCGGAAGTTAAAAAGTTCCGTTCGCAGGCTTAATATAAATAGTCACAGTTAGGACTAAAAGTAGTCCCGATGTTGCCTGTTGGAGGAGTGAGGTAGGGGCCATCTGTTGAGAGAGACTTCAGGGCTGCCTGTCAAAAAATAGTTGCGCATTGTCAGTCTGTTCTGCTATTTACCCATAGCTGGGGGAGAAGAAGAGGACTCATATCTTTTCCAATAGTATTTGTACGTAAGTGAATGTAATGGATTCAACTGGAATTCGATCTTGGCTCTCCGATTCCTTAATCCGAGCCGCTATCCATACCCTTGGGAAAGGTATGAATCCTCTTCTCCTACCCCCAGCTATGGGTAAATAACAGGACAGATCGGGTTCTATAGGCTTGGATGGCAACTGCTCTAACGTAGAAAGAAATGGCAACCTACCACAGGAAAAAATCTGCCTCATCAGTCATACATCGAAAGATATATGATCGCCTAAGCGTGTATTACGCATGACGCATAACTGACTGACTGAAATAAACAGGAGAGACAAACATCACTCTCTCCGGAATGAGTTTATAGTGTTGGAGATGAAAGCACAAAATATAAAAAAAAAAATTTAATCGACAGATGTGTTGCTTGTTTCACAAAGAAATGCAGACTAGAAGTGAATGAATCCGCAAAACTGCAGGAGAACAATATGATGTCATTTACAAATCGGATGTTCATTCTTTTCGAAATGATATCGTGTGTGAAATTTCTTTGTTCTGTAAACAGAGTTAAATGAGATTTCCCGTTTCAAAGAAACTCAGCAGAACAAGACCATCGACGAGGCTGTACTCTGGTTGCATTAACCTGATGAAGATCGGTGGATAAACAGACCGAAACGTTAACAGAGGTCTTAAAATATATATATATATATATATATATATATATATATATATATTTAAAATTTTGACGCAGAAGTTTTTGAACAACGAGCGTGTCCTTATAAATTTTCGATTCAACCAACTTCTCTAAAAGCTGACCAAATGAAGAAACAGATTTTTTTTAGACGTTTTTTTTTTGTTTTTTTTAACATCGGATTGAAAATTTTCCAGTATCTATCTATCTATCTATCTATCTATCTATCTATCTATCTATCTATCTGTTTGCCTTTCTGTCTTTTCGAATAGCAGACGTGCAGAAGTCAACAGGACTTAGGGCGGGAAAATAAATTAAGCGATAAACGAACACTGTTAGACTTGAAAATATTTTATATTTATAAATATTCGTATGAATGTTAGGTTCTCATAAAACATCTCTATATCTGCATTTAGCGAACCTCATGACTTGTGCATTTACAACAAAAGACATTCCAGTCGATAAAAATACGTTTCTCATACAACCAGGTTGATGCAAGAAATGCATAAAGACATAATTAAAACTTCTTAGCAGGACATACTTGCCCAAATCTGACTAAACATTAGCATTTGTTTTGGAAGTGGTTCTTGTCCGGTCCGAAGTACACTAATAACGATGTATTTGTGAGTATGGTTACAACACACACACACACAAAACACACACACACACACACAGATATATATATATATATATTTTGTGTATATATATATATATATATATATATATATATATATATATATATATATATCTGTGTGTGTTATATTCAAAAATCTATCTATCTGAAAGTCTTTTTATATTTATCATATATATATATATATGTGTGTGGGGGATGTTACTTTATTCATATCTACCTATCTGTCTATATATCTATCTATTGGTGAGTCTATCATATATATATATATATATATATATATATATATATATATATATATATATATGGTACTGTATTCATATTTATTAATGTATGTACTTATGCATGTATTTATCGATCTGTGTGTTTGTTTATATATGTGTGTGTGTTATTACATCCATATCTATCTATCTATCTATCTATCTATCTATCTATCTATCTATCTATCTATCTATGAGTTCTGGCATGTTCATCCAGTGTATCTGTCGAAAAATGCGATTGAATCTGGTTTTTAATTTTGTTAAGTGCTTGGATATTGTCTTCTCAATCGTCATGATTTGTTTACTTTCGGGGTTTGCATTTGTGAGATATTTGAGTAGGCTTCTCTTTCCTTTGATATGACAAGATTGCTTTATGTAATTCTTTGTAACGGCGAAACAACAACACTTTTCAAATTAAGACATTCAACTCTCGCCTGTATTTTACACAGATTTTACCTGCCATGATTTTTTTCTTTTTGCCCACCTCCCCCAATTTTTTTTTTTTTTTTTTTTAAGTGTTCTCTGTTTTATATCCAAGTTCGGAAAATCTCTTTGCCTGGCATATTAAAACCAGCGTCAGTCGGTGACAGTCGGAGAAATATTGGTCACGTCAATTCTTGTTAGTTTCTGCATTTGACCATCTGGCAATGAACTGATTGTTGTTGCAAACAGAACATTGTAATAATGTGCTCTTCTTAATAGTCTCATGTCGCAATGACCGAATCTGTATAGCTTATTTCTTTTGTGAATAGATAATTATATATATATATATACATATATATTTATATATATATATATATATATAGATAGATAGATAGATATTGGCTATTCACGAAAAAAATATGCTATACATATTTGTTTAAATGAACAGATCATTATATATATATATACATACATACATACATATATATATATATATATATATATATATATATATATATATATAGATAGATAGATAGATAGATAGATAGATATGAGCTATTCACGAGAAAATATACTATACAAATTTATTTCGTGAACAGATCATTATATATATATATATATATACACACACATATGTATATATATATATATATAGATAGATAGATATTAGCTATTCACGAAAAAAAATATACTATACATATTTGTTTCGTGAACAGATCATTACATATATATACATATATATATATATATATATATATATATATATAGATAGATAGATAGATAGATAGATAGATAGATAGATATGGGCTATTCACGAAAAAATATGCTATACATATTTATTTCGTGAACAGATCATTATATATATATATATATATATATATATATATATATATAGATCATTATATATATATATATATAGATATAGATAGATAGATAGATAGATAGATAGATAGATAGATATATAGATATGAGCTATTCACGAAAAAGTATGCTATACATATTTGTTTCGTGAACAGATCATTATATATATATATATATATATATATATATATATATGTGTGTGTGTGTGTGTGTGTGTCTGTGTGTATATATGTATGGTGACCATGAGACCGTGGTCTGAATCTCACCATGGTCAATTTGTCAGGAAGAAAACTTTCTGATAATATTCGTTTAGAAGCGGCGGCGGGGCGGGGGTCGATCCCAAAATGCCTGAAATATTTCATTATTTAAACATACATTTTTAAATATAACAGACAACGAATGTCTATTATACTTGATCATGAACCGTTCTAAGCTTCGTATAGTGTCTTTAGTTTCGATAGAAAATAAAGACAAAAACTGTCCAACATTTGGATATTTCTTATTATGCTGTTTCTCGATCTAACCTAAATCCCTTACAAAAACTATGTAGTGTATCAATTTATATGCCCGTTCAGAGATTATAACTCTGATGTTAATAATAAACCTACTACATGTATTGGTTTTACTACAATCCCGCTCTCCTGTAGACTTAATTCTCACGTTTCTGATCTTAGTTCCATTAAACAACATTTGTTAGAAAAACGTAGCCATGTCCATAATATTATGCAGATATTAGTTGATAACACAACAATACTAACACATACACACTGTAGAAAGAACCTTCATATATTGGAAGCCATCTAGATTAAAAAAACAAAGCAATCCACACTCAACAAAATTATATTGCATCTAAACATATTGTTCTGTTGATAACATTTCTTTCTCTCACGTATGACGTCATAGAATCGCATTACAAATTTACGACCTGCTATTCCACGACTATTATCGTCGCATAGCAAAGTTCTATATAAACTTAACAGGATGTCATATTTGATGGTGAACATCTCTGTTTTAATGTCCATATAAGCAATCCGATGAAGGCTCATGTGAGCCGAACGCCTAGATCAAGAAACAGCATAATAAAAAGATATCCAAATGTTGGACAGTTTTTCTTTTTATTTTCTCCCGAAAGTAAAGCCAGTATACAAAAGCTCAGAACAGCTCGTGACCCAAAATAATAGACACTCATTGTCTGTCATATTTCACAATATATGATTGAACACACACACACACACACATTATATATATATATATATATATATATATATGAAGAAATATAGTTTTAAGGTGTGCTATATTTACGGGATAAAGTGCTAGATAGAGCGTGTGTAAATATAAAAGTGAACATAGAAGTCAACACTTAGAGGCGACAGTTTGTTTCATGCTAGACGCAATCGTCAGACCACCTATATGACGATTGCGTCTCGCATGAAACAGACTGTCGCTCTAAGTGTTGACTTTATGTTCAATTATATATATATATATATATATATATATATATATATATATATATATTTATATATATATATATATATATATATATATATACATATTTTCGTGACAACTCCAATATATATCCACCTGACATTTCATTTGATATGGTCATTGCGACTTATACTAAGTTAAAACTTATTAATAAGTTAATACCATTTCAATATCTCTATGTTACCCGACTGATTACAGTTCTTGATGATGAACTCTTGATCGATGGGATCTGAATATAGCTCCGATTATCTGATGGGCAGGACGAGCTCTTTAGTTTTGGTCGACACTTGTCCTAGAGCTGGTATCATGAACAAAATTGTTACTTGGCGCTCAAGGATAAAACGCAAAAAAATTACAAATTTTAATGATTACGAACAAATTCTCATACCGGATCGGCCGTCATCCAGGTAAAAAAGCCAATAGTACCTTGAAGATCCATCTGGTTAAACCTTGGTAGGTAGCAGGTAGTACCGTGAACATCCATCAGGTGAAACTTTGGTAGGTAGCCAGTAGTATCCTGAAGATCCATAAGGTGAAACCTTGGTAGGTCGCCAATAGTACCCTGAAGATCCATAAGGTGAAACCTTGATAGGTCGCCAATAGTACCGTGAAGATCCATAAGGTGAAACCTTGGTAGGTCGCCAATATTACCGTGAAGATCCATCAGGTGAAACCTTGGTAGGTAGCCAGTAGTACCGTGAAGATCCATCAGGGGAAACCTTGGTAGGTCGCCAGTTTTACCGTGAAGATCCATCAGGCGAAGCCTTGGTAGGTAGCCAGTGAAGATCCATCAGGTGAAACCTTGGTAGGTAGCCAGTAGTACCCTGAAGATCCATAAGGTGAAACCTTGGTAGGTAGCCAATAGCACTGTGAAGATCCATCAGGTTAAACCTTGGTAGGTAGCCAGTAGTACCGTGAAGATCCATAAGGTGAAACCTTGGTAGGTAGCCAGTAGTACCGTGAAGATCCATCAGGTGAAACCTTGGTAGGTAGCTAGTAGTATCCTGAAGATCCATAAGGTGAAACCTTGGTAGGTAGCCAGTAGTACCGTGAAGATCCATCAGGTGAAACCTTGGTAAGTCGCCAATAGTACCGTGCAAATCCATCAGGTGAAACCTTGGTAAGTCGCCAATAGTACCGTGCAAATCCATCAGGTGAACCCTTGGTAGGTAGCCAGTAATACCCTGAAGATCCATAAGCTGAAACCTTGGTAGGTCGCCAATAGTACCGTGAAGATCCATCAGGTGAAACCTTGGTAGGTAGCCAGTAGTACCGTAAAGATCCATCAGGTGAAACCTTGGTAAGTCGCCAATAGTACCGTGCAAATCCATCAGGTGAACCCTTGGTAGGTAGTCAGTAATACCCTGAAGATCCATAAGCTGAAACCTTGGTAGGTAGCCAGTAGTACCGTGAAGATCCATCAGGTGAAACCTTGGTAGGTAGCCAGTAGTACCGTGAAGTTCCATTATTTAAATAATTTTTTTTCTAGTATTTGTTCTAACTCAATTTTCTTAAAAAACGATAGCCTTGTCAACTTATATATGAAACTGGGTACTTCATTCCGATTATGATCATTAAAAATTGAATTGACAGACCCTGTTTCCATTTTGGACGATGCTGTTTGCGTTCACTTGGCTTTT